GCTTAATTCCACTCCTGAATTAAAAATAAAGTTAAAAAAAAATAAATAAGATCCCCTTTTCACGCCTTTAGGCGCATTGGGTATATTGGGAGAACGCCTATATTTTTTTCAGACCATCGGCACAAGGTGGGTAATGGGGTCTTCATTAAGCCGGCCGTCTCTTCTTCCCCAGGACAGCCATCCTGGTACCTATTTTAGGCTGGGTTGACCTGCGAAGCCCCATACCACGATACAAATCCACGCTGCCAGCAGCGGCTTTCAATCGAGGAACGTCGGAATTACGAGTCGGACTCGCAACGCCTAAGCCACAGACGCTGCACTAAATCAAAGCTAGTATTAAAATGAAAGGCAATGGACCAGCAGAGCGGGGGGTGTTGTAAAGCTACCGCGTTTTCCTAAAAACAAGACTTACCCCAAAATTAAGCTTTTTTTTCATTTTTTTTTTCAAATACCCATAATATAAACGCGGCGTCCGTGGCTAAGGCGTTGCGTGTCCGACTCGTAAGCCAGCATACCGCAATCGAAACCTGCCTGGGCTGCGTGGATTTTTATCGTGGTATGGGACGTCGCAGGTCGACCCAGCCTAAAATGGGTACCAGGATGGGCTGTCCTGGGAAAGTAAAGACAGCCGGCGTAATGCTGACCACATTACCCACAGAGTGCTGATGGTCTGTAAAAATATGGGACGCTCTGCCCATATGCCCGATGCGCCGAAAGGCGTGAAAAGGGAACTTTACTTTACTTTACTTATAATATAAGCCCTACCTAAAAGAAGCCCTAGTTAGGATCGTCAGCTAGAATGAGAGACTTGTCGGAGTGCAGGCATGACTGGTAGGCATTGATATAGAACGGACTCAGGTCAGAATTCGGGATTTGCAGACTTATTGCGATGGTCCAGAATAAAATGACATGACAATTTGAATAAATATAGCATTTTTAATGAATCAATGTCGATTTCATATAATAAGGTTTCCCCCGAAAATAAACCCTAGTGCATTTTTAAGCACACGTTATCATAAAGCACGTCTAATTTTCGGGGAACACGATATTTAAACTTGTTTAGAAAATGTGAACAAAGAAAACACAAACAATAGATTAGACAATTTAGTTAATACCTGGCATATTTCGCTGTATCTCGTTAGGTGCGCCCGGAACTCTGTATACAGAAAGAGATGGTTCTGTCTTTACGGCTGCCCTGGTAAAAACATGCAGTCATGTTTGATCGTTGTTGACATTGCACTTCGGTTATTAAGGATTCACTTATTTGCTTCATTTATGTAATTGTTACTAAAGTATGCACCTGACAAGATACAGCGAAATATGCCAGGCAATCTATTGTTTGTGTCTTCTCTGTTCAAATTTACAACAGGGAAACATTGCTTTGTTAAGAAACGACAGGAGTGATTCTCATTTCAAAATTTTAATGGTAATTTTATTTTTATGTTTTTTGTGAAACTGGGGAGGGTGATTATTTGCGTGAAGATGGTGGCAGTGATCAAGGATAGTTGAGACAGAAAGACAAAGGAAGTGATCGATAGATCTACCGACTGACTGACAGAAGCCCGTCCTATGAAATGATGGATCGTATTACTACCAGCCAGAAACAATTACGGGTTAACGGATAGAGAGACAGACTGACAGGCAGGCTGGCTCCTTGACAGGCAGGCAGGTAGACAGAAATATAGACAGACTAACAGACGGAAAGACGGGCGTGAGGATAGACAGGCATACCGTCAGACATCCAGGCGGATATAAAGATGGACTATTATTTTTTTTTTAAAAGATGGATGATCGAACAGATGGACTGACAAAAAGATGGATATATGCTTAGATAGTAAAATGTATACCTTTGGATTTTAAAGGAGAAAAATGAATGAAAAGATGAATGAATAGACAAATGGACAAACAAACAGATGGATATATAGATGGGCTTAACATGTAATAATTGGAATGAAAGACCAATGGAAGACTCGACCATAGTCAGACGGGTTATTGTAAACTATCTCAGATATTATCTTTCCATCTTATCCATGGTCTTGCTCGTTATATACTAAACTGTTCCCAAAATATCTTTCTGTTTTCCAAAATAACACATTTTTGATGTGATAATAATCCCCTTTTTAAATATTGAGTTATGGTTGAATACACCCCGTATTTGTCGTAATAATAATTCACTTTTCAAAATTTAATTTCTCTTGGACAGATCATTTATTTGGTTATTCAATCATTTATTTTTCAATATTGAATTCTAGCTGGAGAGATCTGCTAGATATTTTTCTTCGTACAATGATTTAACAAGTTTGGCTAGGTTTTCATTTTTTAATCGGCTTTATTGCAGATTAGTCGGCTATGTGGCTGTCGATGCGAACGCTTCGTAATGCGGGGGGTGCTAGCTTCGATCCCAGCTGAGGGGTGCTAGCTTCGATCCCAGCTGAGGGGTGCTAGCTTCGATCCCAGCTGAGGGGTGCTAGCTTCGATCCCAGCTGAGGGGTGCTAGCTT